TTTTTGAAGACTCGCATAGCACTAAAATAGAATTTTAAGTTGGTGACAGCCGAAAAAATCGCTCCTCTTGACCGCCTCCTGGATCGAATGAGTTCTAAAAGTTCTGGTTTTTTTTTTCAATGAAAAATTTCCCGCACTAGTCCAGCTAGATTTGACACTACAGAATAATTTTCAAAAGACAGGATGACTTTTACGCTTTTCTCAAACAGTTTTTTCACATTCTAGGTCATCCTTCCTCAGAGCAGTCCTGAGAGGGCCTACAAAGTAGGAGTTCAGACTTTGGAAAAGGAAGAAATGTAAGTTACAAAAAAATTTTTTTGTTTGTATTGTATGCTTCGTGTATCTATTGACCCTAATCTGGTGATCGTTATCAGTGAAACCATCCAAAACTATTTTGAAGCTGTAACAGTAAGCTTAAGGCTAATACCCAACCGCACCATAATACTTCACCTTCCTCTTCTACGTTACTTCAAGTAATAAACTTTTATCATAAGATGTTGCATTTCTGTAAGAGAGACTGATCAACGTGAGTGAGTTTCGCAAAGCGGTGAGATGAAAGTTTCAGATTAGGAAGTGTGCAAAGCATGCGTAAGCACAGCTGTCACTCGCCATAACAGGCGCGAGCGTTTGAGAAGTAAAAATCTTCGTTTCTAATGGTGAGACATCTTCTTTATCGCTAAGAAATCACATTCTTTTCCGCGTCATCGGCATGTTCGATGAGTTTGCAAAAACTCAAAGCTGACACGTGAAAAGTTTTGTGATGAACTAAAAGATTTGAAACTTCCAAAACCAAAAACTAGCGTCATTACTCAATTTTTCCAAATAGACTGTAGATAAGTCCATTTGCATGAAATTTGCTAGAAAGATAGATCAAGCTGCATTCTTAGTTTAGTCTTGAATGAGTTTTAAGTGATGAAAACCATGCCTCCTTCTCATCGCCCAAAATACTCATGGCCCTTTCAAATTACAAGGATAAGTCAGTCATTCAAAATAGCTTTGATTTTTGTGTTTTCCAAAACTATGTAGTTTTCCTCAATATTTCAAGAAGGTGGAGAAATCTGAAGATCTTTAGTATGTGGAGATTAGTACATCGTCCAGTCACAGATTTTAGAAAAGTAAATCAAGAGTTTTGAACGTCGCATAACAGACTTATTTTCAGTTTTGGAAGTTGTTGTTTTAAGTTCAAAATCACGCTGGAGAGGGCTTATTTGTAGGACGGCTTCTACGCTTCTTAGGGTATGTGACAAATCCTTCTACAGGATGATTTTAACCATGTGACTGTAGATGGCAATCATCGTACATTTTAACAAAGGAGATTTTCTTTCCATTTGAGCATAGGATACATTCTTCTGGCTTCTTTTAACATAAATAATTTTTGAGCTTTTCAAATACTCTTATATCTCGGCGTATAACCAGTCATACTGTGTAAAGCGTTCACTAGCTGTTCCTCTGGATTACAATTTATCCCATACTATGTCCAGCCGCATCCCTGCGGCAGATTTGAACCCTCATCCAGAATTAGAAGAGCCACATATGTGGGGTTGTGTGTGTGTGCGGATGGCACAGGAGCACATGTTGTGTGCTTGTGTGTGTGTGGCTGTGTTAATGGCTGGCTTCTACCTTCTGCTTTTCATCTGCTCCACACCATCTTGCGCAATTTCGAACGAGAACCGTCTGTGACACAGATGCTGCTAAGGCGCGCCTTATTGACACTATCTCGATGTGTTCGCCCTCTGGATCTACGATCGCTGGAAAAACATGTGTGGCGGAATGTACTCGTCCACCGTGGAAGTTCGGAAGTTATCAGATCCGAATGTTGTGCAAATGTTTCGACCAGGTCTGGTGTGGCCATCCGTCCACGCAATCTGTCACAACAACGTGTGGACAGAGTCAAATTTAATTTGGTGCCAGCCTGGGTTCCCTTATGTCGCCTTGATTCAACTTCTGCTACTGATTGGCTGAGAATGCAGGTCGGGTGAGCAGCAGTCGCAAGAATCTGTCAATTCTCCATTTCTCAGTGATAGCCGTGTAAATTCTGACCGCACGTTCAAGCTGCCGTCTTTATACTATCTTAAGACAAATTCAGTTAAAGGCAGTTTCTGTCGATGTTTGGCCAGGATGGCAAACTGCCTCGTTTCTTTCTGGAACACAGGTATATATCGATACAAAGGTTTTGCACAGCAATATCCAAAGAATGTGATCAGAGTGCGCATGAATTGTCATAGCATAGCGGCGGTTATAATTTAAGCACGAAAAAATTTGTTGAAAATTTTCTTAACTTTTCCGAATACATACGTGATGTGGTAGAATGAACAGTTCTCTACTAGAGAAGAAAAAAAATTCGACATCTTAAGTGCATAAAAAATATGACAAATTCGTCTATATATGTACGTACGGAAGAACGATTTTCAAGATTTAATTAGACATTTCCATTCAGTGATACATTTTATAATCTCGGATTACCTTACAGGGAATCTTTTCTGAGCTGGAGAGTTTACGGAACTTCTGAAGAAGCTTTTTCCGGTTCTGACCTCGATAACTTGCATTCTTGGGAAATAAAGTGGAGACTATCGTAGGGAGGCTTACCTATTTTTGAAATTCATTTTTTGCACAGTCTACTCAAAAAGGTGAATGGAGGACCTATAGCAAATGTTCGGAAAAAGTGAACTGCTAGCTTTTTTTGCAAGAATCCTTGTAAAAAGGCTATGAGATCTGCTCTTCTATCGAGCACCTTATTCCATCATTTCTCAAGTTACTATTATTTAATGGCTTCGAGAACTCATTTTGCTTTCGCGAAGTGGGAAAACTCCATTCACCCTTTTGCAGCCAGGTCCATCCCCTTTACCTAACTATTTCTTCTCCACTATCTCTCCAATATGAAGCCAATAAAGCTGCACAAGTCCAAAGGTGATATTGTCTGCCAATAAAATCAGCTAATGTTCTTTCGAGCATAAAATGAACAGCTGAAGAGTGACAGATGAACTGACACCGCATCGAATGCAGGTGAACGATACACCTGCGAGCAGCCCTGAATACACATGGCATGGCGGTGAGTGTACCCCAATGCTAATCTGGAAAGCCACAAAGGAAAAAGTACCGTAAACAGTCAGCACATTTGGCGCTGACTAAGCGTTATTTTGGCAAAAATGAACCAGCCGGGAGGGAGGGAGGGGGGGAGACTTTAAGGATCAAATGTGTGTGGAGCACATGCGAAGTGAGTGCGGACGCGGTTTTTTTCTCTCAAATGGAATATTTTATGCCATCTGCAATTGCACCTTACCACATTCTCCTCAATTCACAGCTGCTCCTACAATCTGCTGTTGACCATTAGAAGCACGTGTGGCAAAAGATTTTTCCAGAATGAATACGGTCGTTAATGGTTCACCTTCCAGATTTCGCCTTTTCGCTCCGACTTTTTGATGGGTGACAAAAATCTCATCATTGAAGAGATTGATATAAAACTATAGATGCCACTATCGCATCTGAGATAGTGGAATATCCGGAGGGACGATTTCAATTTTTGGGAAGGTCTTACCGGGTCGCTACACTACCTGACACCTTTACCGAAATAATTGGTAGAATAGTATTTTAGCCGTAACGTCACGCATGTAAAAAGTTCGCGACGTTACAATAATAATAGATACTTAAGACTTTTTCCTGTGTTCCAACATCAAAAATACTTTATGATTCGACCACCTCCCCCTCCCCCCCCCTCCTCCCATTTTGCTCAAGAGAGCCTGATACATTAGATCTGGATTTTTAAAGAGAAAGTACATCAATTGAAGGCAAGCAGTTTACAATTGCCATTATATTTGAGAAGATTTTTCGCGAATCAAGGGAAAGGAAGAGTTAACATGAGTACAATGTTTTAGCGAAGTATACGTCAAGAGCACTAGTGTTCATGGACAATGATATTTTGACCAAAATATGTAGGTGAACAGCTACCTGATAATTTTTAACGATTTTGCTAGACCCCATATTTGAATCAGCCCCCTCATGCCATAGGTCCTGCTATCTTACGATTAGTCTGTTATCTCTAGTTCATGGACCATGAAACTTCCTTCATTGTCCGCATTCACACTACCAGAAAGCTATGTTTATTTGATTTTTTGTGCCATATAATAATTATTCATGAGTGCATAAAGTAAAGTTTAACTATCTCCAAAACTTCAGTGAGTTTTGAGGTTAAAGTACCCTAACCCTTCAGTCAAGGCGGACAGAGATTAGAGGGATGCCTGCTTTCGAGAATTGGTCCATAAATTTCCAAAGTTGCTTACATGAATTAGAAAATTATATGAGTGGCTTACTTGGACTTTTAGATAATCAGTTTAAGAACTTAAAATAGAAAAAAACTTCGAAAAAAATTTCTGTCGCGCTTTCATCGCTCTCAAACAGCTTTCTTGGACGCTACCCACCTCCAGTGAGCGTATAAATGATAAATTTTGTACCTCTGTACAAAAGACAATAAAATCCACAAGTTCCTCTCTACGTAATCAGAATTTTTGTTCTGTTTTTCTTCACTGAGGTTGAGGAAGCAAAGCTCCCGATAGTCATAACATTATCCAGTGTTTCCCATAAACCATCCCTATCGCTTCGCACCTGCGGATGTAACGGGGGTGCATGTGTCCGTTGTGAAAAGGGATCTTTGGACCGCGTAATCCTCTCGTGCTTCAGCTGCCGGCCGGCCGCTCGTTGTCCGTCTGGTCGGCTTCAGATGCGCGATGCCATTTGCGTCTCAGCTGCTTGCCAACTGTTCGTGCCTAAGGCGGCATCTGCTTCGAGCACACAGCTGTCAGCCAGAAATGTGCATTCACCAATGTCTGTTCGGTTATCTACGACTGGGTAGGACCAATTTTAAAGGACCCATTTGTGGTAAAAATGTGAATTGACAAGTACTTGATAGCTTTATTGCTCTGTTGGTTTGAAGTCTCTACGACTGGGTAGGACCAATTTTGAAGGACCCATTTGTGGTAAAAAAATGTGAAATGACAACTACTCAATAGCTTTATTGCTCTGTTGGTTTGAAGTCTGACACACACACGTATTTACAATAGCGCAGTAAAACTACGCATAGTACGCAATGACAATGACAATAACAATGCGAGAATGTACTGAAACTGCACAAAGTCAAGCGAATACCCGATTATAGCAGAGAGGTCACGTCCCAAACCATGATGGTGGGACGAGTATCACACGCACACATTTCTAGAAGACAAATGAAAGAAAGAACAAAGGATGTGTTCAGGCGGTAGCCGCTTTTGTCACTGTGCACTGTGTGAAGAGGTCTTGGAGATTGTCGGGCAAGTCGTTCTCCTTGTCGTTTTCGAGCTGAGACTGTAGCTCGCGGATGTATCGGATGGCCGAGAGGACGAGTTCGAGTTGAGATGTGCCTTCTTCGGAACCGACAAGGCGGCGAAGAGTGGATTCAACCTGGAGAAAGGAGGTAATGAGAGACTATAGGAAGAAACAACAGAAAAGCAGAACAAAATTGAAAACTGACAGAAAGAAAAATTGGAGAAGTATGCCTACCTTTATTTTCTCTTTCCTTTCAGCTGAGGATTTGCGAATTCTTCCCGGAGGTGAAACGGGAGCAGCTGGACGAGCTTCACGTTGTTGCATGGCCTTCATATTAGCAGTTAAAGGGCTCGGAGGACGTAAAAGTTGACGAATTGACGGATGGTAGCGTTCCAAAGGATCGCTGGAATTCCGAATGACGAGGTGCCGCAGCTGAGGCGGCGGTCACGCCCTTCCGTCGGCCCCGCCCCTACACAGGTGCGCGGCCCGCGGTGAGAACGGGGGGAGGACAACGAAACCCAGGACAATAGAGAGAACGAAGACTCTTGGTTATCTGTCAGAGGATTCCGATCCCTTTGTGAGTAAAGTGATGTGAGCCTGGATAAGGTTCTTGGATGACAAGATGAAGAAGCAACAGATTTAAAATTTACGGGTTTTTCTTTCAAAAAATGCCTTAAATGAAGTCTTTCAAGCCGGAGCCATACGCAAAAAAATTACTTCGTTTATCATCACTTGTAGTAGTAGTCAAAAGGGAGCAACAATAAACCATATGCGGAAACCGCAATGCCGCTATACTAACATATTGTTGCTGTTTTTATATCAGATTAACATAAATCTCAAACAGCTACAAACAAATAGCTCGAAAATGCTTAGGTGACCATTTCATTCTGTAATATTTTATGTAATCCAATTTTCCATACGTACTTTTTAGTATGCCATATTTTACTGTACACATTGTAATTCAATTCAGCTCAGATCACTGATTTCCACCCAAAAAGATCAAAACCCCAAAAGGAACTCAAAAACACAAGTTTACATAAAACATTCCATCAATACGATTTCTTTTATAAAAATAGAATCAAACCAAAACATGGAATTAGATGTAGTTAGAGCATTTGGCCTTGTTATCTGCAGAAGTAAAGTATTTACTTTTTAATTTATCGGCGCACAAGTTACGTTTGCTTTGAGCGCTACCAGGGTGCATGATTTACTCTACCAAAGGATGCTGTTGTACAATTATTCAGTTTGCAAAAACTTGTGTTTCAAGAAATTTTAGTGCAAAATTTATCCAACTTTATTGCTAATGGACTGAAAATCGTATTTTCGGAGGACGCATACTAGTCGAACTGAAGTAAAATCAGTTGCAGGGATAGTAACGTCAATATGTAAATGGTGTATGGTTTGAAGATCTGCTGTGAAAACTTTTCATCCCAAAACAAGCACATTGAAAGAACTGGATAAGCTATCGTGGGTTCAATACCTGCACTTGCAGTTTTCACCAATAATTTGTTGGCGGACTGATAATCCGTCAAGAAATTGTTGGTGTCAAAACTCAAACAAATTCGTATTCAGAATGTTTCTAAAGAAAATTTTATTTCATTATACACATGTTTGAAGTAAACAAATTCATTGCAATGCCGACACCTTGCAATCAAAAATTAGGTTGGAGCTACGATATGACTTAGATTACGTCTTGAATAGAGCCTGAATTATCCTTCCTAACCATGAATACTAGTCCCAGAAATGACTAGGAGATAGTAGTAGTATGCATGTAGTATTTTATTACATATCCAAAATTTTTATTTTGAACAAAGCAAAAATCCGAAAAATCCGAAATTACAAGTTTTCTTGGAAGGCGCTTGATCAGTACGAATTTAGCTCGGTGAAAGAGAAAACCATCATATCATATCCAAAAGCATAATTAGAAGTTGTTGGGCTTCGTAGCAATTATTGAATAGTTTCATTAAATATGGTGGAATTTACGGATTGCAAAGATTCTGGTGCAGGTGTTATGCTCTACCTAATAGTCACAATAGTTTACTCCTTGACCAAATTCGAAGCACAGGTTTTATTTATTTGCATCCAATCGAAATTACTCTGCCCATATTGTTTTCGGCATCTAGATCCTTTACCATCTAGATCCAGAATTACCCCGGCTGTAAGGTATTATCTGTTAATTACATGCTGTCACTTCGACTTTACCAACACAAAACTCTACTCTTGAATTTCCCGGAATTCCCAGACACTTGGTCTTTAATGCGCGACTGCACCTTCACTGATATAACTCAACAGAAAGTGACAGTACTAAGCGCAAGAGTGAAATTCCTCAGCGTTAGGACAGGTGTTTCGGGAGTGCGGGGCGCTGGTAAGGGAGTGGCAGGCGCAAGCGACATTGTCTCAAAAGTATCAACAGCGGGTTCTTCCCCGGCGATAACCGTCACTTACCCGGGTTGGATTAGGCTCTCTGCGAATGAAATCGGACATGTGTGCGCCTTTGCCACTAATCTCCATATGTGTGTGAGCTCTTTGTTATCGGGCGTGATGGAGAGCTGCTGCTGCTGGTGTCTGTGTGGTGTGTGGTGATCATTTTCGATTTGAGTACGCAGGTGCGTGCCCAGGTGTCCAATATAGGGGCACACTCTTTGAAGCACCGTGTAGCGATTCTGTTAAACAGCATGTACATGTGCACACCTCGTGTCGTTTCGTAATCACCCACCCATGCCTTCGAGGAAAAGGTCCCAACTTCACCAGCTTCCGAGCGTCCTTGGGTCCAGACCAAAGATTGGTCCATTCTTCAGACAAAGCCGCCCCAAGCAGCAGCTGACCCATTTTAATTTCAGAAAGGCCTTGTTCAAACGGATGGCCGTCGGGTCCTTTTGCATCCTGGAATCGGATTCCTATATGAGGTGCCATATGCGGCTGAATGGAGAGGAATAGGAGCCAGAGGCAAAAGTGGGGACAGCTGGCACTGAGCCACTAATTGCGCAGTCGGCACACCCTCAGGGCACATGCACGCATTACAGATTCCGGAATCATGCTCTTAGCTCATGTGATCACCTGGTTAATGTTTGGGGATCTGAGCAATAGTAAGAAGGACAGCAACACCGTCAGATTGAACAGATGGAGCATAGTGTAGAAGTGACTATTGGGTTAATGTCATGACTCCAGCAACTTATGACGAGACACGTGAAATCATCAGAGGTGTGAATTCCTTCAGGAAAAGCTCATTAGTTTTAGAAATCTTAGTACAGTTCCGTCTAGCATTGCATATTTGCAGATTGAGACAAACACTAGCGTTAGTCAATGGTGGGTCCTTGAAATTTGTCGAGCTTAAATTCCGCTGGACAAAAGTTAAAACAAAATATTGCTACCTTCATCCTCGAGATTTGATGACTAATCAGCCACGATCAAAATTTCATCTCCCAAGTTCGAACTTCGATAAATCGCATGTTGCGATATTATTTCCAAGTTGATCTGAATATTCTCAACCACTTCATTCTACGGCTTCCTTTAGGTAGAGAAGTTAACGAAGTGATATAGGATATGTAAGGTGATTTCCATAAGATTGTCTGCATATCAACAGAGTTGTTCTTCGTTCCATAGAAAATGCAATCGGTCTTTCAATGTGATCTCAGCTAAATCCCACCCGAAAAAGATACAGTATTACATAGTAGATCCAGTAGATAAAGATATTGCATCACATTACAGTTGTAATTACTAAATATCAAAGACATGGCTTAACATATTCAGTCAAATTGCTCTCGAAGAAACAAACAGTAGTTCTGAATCACAATTTTACCGTTTGATGTTAAAGAAAAGAATGATCTCTTTTCACTCTAATGAAGGTCTACCTCCAATATAAGAACTAAATTTCAAACATGTTTACTCACAGCAAAACTTTGTTTTGCATTATTCTATATGCTTTCGTGAAATGCAAAATAGAGAAGCCTTTCATTACGAAAGAAAAGTACAGAGGTGATAAAATCAATCTAATAAACGAATATTTCTTCTTATTTCATTTATTAAGCACTATGAGTATGTGCTAACTAAGTATTAAAATATAATTGATAGCTGATATTCACCACGTGCGAACGTGGGTCTATCTGTGGGACATTTATAAGCGCATTGGCTAGTGACAAGTCTACTTTTCGACCAACCCAAAGCCTGCTCAAAATTCATATATCTGCATAAAGTCGTACGTAGCAGTGTAGTGTGCTAGTGGAAAGATGCACTTCTATATTCACTACGCTTCTCAACTCTTTTTCGCTCTTCTGCAAGCCTTCAAGAGCATTCGATCCAGGTCTGGCACTTCATGAATGCATAACTGGGCCAGCTGCCATGCTTCGTTATCGGGAATTAAAGTGCTCCACCCGATGTTACTTGAGGGGATATAATTACGAATTTTAGAACTCGGTTAATGGGTTAAGGAAACTTTGACGGACTCAAGGATAATCTTCGACACTAATTTTCGTGACCTTGCTTCGATGTGCTCAATTCGAAGTCGAAGTGTAAACGAAAAATATTGAAGTTTACACGGTTTCACAGTGGGGGTAGTTCATCTGCTTCAATCAGGCAGCTGGATATTTGCAAAATAGAGCTAGATACTTTTTTGGCATTCCTCGCTACTGCAGCTGGGATCGGAAATTTTCTAGCAGTGCCATATTGTCAGTTCGCACACATGTAAGCATTAGTGTTCCAATGCAAGCTGTTCCCCTGTGGGAAGGGACTTATTGGCAGATGTCCGAGCAGCGACATAACTCAACTCGGACACGCAGCTTCGTAGTTCGAGAAGAAGCTCAATCATGGAAGTGTCCAGATGGCCGAAGAGGCGCTGCAGCCGTGAATCCGCCGCGACTCTCGCTCGGCCCTATTTGAAGAAGCCGATTTAATTGCGAGCGCAAGTTTTTGACGGGTGCCTGAGAGGCGGGGGAGGGGGGGGGGCTGGAGATGTGGTGGGGCCATCTGTGGGCTGAAGTGTCGGCATGCTGGAGCACTTCATGCCATATGCATCCACGTGCTGACATCGGCAGTCAAAGGCCTTAACGCACCTGCTGCTCAGCGCTTAACAAAGCTCGCAAATAGGATTACAGACACAGAGAAAAATGTTATGCTTTCGCGTCAGAGCCAAACGTCGCACCTGGTGTGAGCTGCTGCGACCGCTGTGCTCACAGACATCGAAAATTTGCGATGCAAATCGGACGGATGGATGTCATGGGGGTATGGATGTGGGTAGCAATAATTCCGTAGTAGGACTGTTTAAGGTAACCAGACCGTCGAACACGGCAACCTGGAACTACCATTCGGGAAAAATTTACCTTACCCATCACTCTGCTTTCTGCTCTCACCTCTTAAGTCGATTTCCAAAAAGAATTTTAAAACCAGCTAAGCGACTCATTGGCTGCATCATCCTGTAAATTCCCATCGCGAGAATAATTTCTCAGGGAGAGGGTGGCGGAAGATCAGCAAGATATAGAAAATGAGGAAATGCTGCTCTGTAGATAGAAGCTAAGCAGATTTTCTGGGTTTATACTCAGGGATGTCACAAATGTTGAGAATTTTATTTGCTCTCCAACAAAGTTATAGAAGAGGAGTGTGGTACTTTTGCACAGTCTGTTCGTAGGTTCCTCAGTTTTAGTAAGCGTTAAAAAATTGATTATGACAACTTCTGCTGAAATCGAAAGCACGCCGATTTTCTCAGCATCTCTAATGAACTTCTCTCTATTTTCTTCTCACTTTTAGAGCAACATTTACGTCTGAGAGTGTCCATTTGTATAGACATATAGTGTTTCCAACTTATAAAGAGTATTTTTTTGTTTTGTACTTGTATTGAAGAGAAATATTCATGATACTGCCACAAAGAAACTTTTAGCGAGATTTAGCACCTGTTATATCCGGGATTATTCAAATGACCTTTGCCCACTTTCAGCTTTGCCAAAAATCATCAGCTCTTCGGCGTTTCAGACTAACACAAATTATTCTCTCTTTTCTAGAGCTACAGTAATCCACCTCCGTCGAAATGCTGGCCCGTTTGAAATGACGTTCTAAGCGAGTGCGACACCTGCATGTGGACCATTTTTGAACAAACACCACGAACATAACATTCAGTGGAACACATGTAGGTTGGCTGTGTGTGTGTTCGAGGGGCAAATTTCAAAAAACGCGACATCTGTTTTGCCATATGCGAAGAGCAGGAGGGGCAGCGAACAGAGAGGGAACGGCACACCTGCGAAGCAGATCGTAACATCATCTGTTCGTGCGCTCGCCTCGAGCGCGAACTGCGGCCGACGTAGCCGCCGGAGATGGCCGCCATAGCCGCGGATTGCGCGAGAGCTCATTACGGCGATTGTGCTTTGAGTTGTCACCGCTTGTCACTACCTGCTCTTAGATAGCATCGCCGAGTGCCCGTGGGAATTGTCACAGACGGGTTTGAACTGTCTGCGTAATCCGTCTTCAAAAAGAGATAGGAAAGAAGTGCTTAGTGGTACTGTGAAATATTTCTATTTGAATGCTTCTCCTTTACTAAAGTGCGGTTCATAATTATAATTTTTAGCGGTTCATAATTATACGACCACCTCAAACAAAGGTCCATTTTTCATTCAAGATTGCAATCATTTGAGTCCAAATTTTTTGTAGAGTTACAATAACAAAGTCTGACATATCTGCTACACACTGAACCCAGTGCAGTCCAAAAAGAGGACCGTTACTTTTTTCAGAGGGCTCTAAATGCTTTTGGAGTGATTGCGCTCCAAAAACATGCGTTCATCTGTGGTTTATGCGCTCTAATTGGCTTCTACCAAAGCTATGAGATAAAATAAGCTCTTTCAATAGGTATTCTGTTTGACGCTTGGAAAGTCTTTGCGTTTTCGTGCTGTTTTTCAACCAATTCCAACCTTACTTTAAAGTTAGCACGATTTCGAGCCTCAAAACTCAGCTTCTGAAGCCGTACAATGAAGTAAGCATATGTATAGTATGTAGAAGTTCACAAGACTGTACATTTGGCTAAAAAAAATCAGCAGCGTTGAGCGTTTGTTTTGGCCACGCAGACGTCATTTCACCAAAAACACTGTTTTTACTATTGCAATCATACCTTTATTTGGTTTTTAGCTCCATAGCCTCAAGATCAGTTCTACAAAAAAAACCAAAAACTTTGGCACAGAAACCTCATCATGCAAACAATGCAGCTGCTTCATATCAAATGTTTGCGCAAAAAAGAAGCTGAGTTTTAAGGCTCGAAATCGTGCTAACTCTAGGGTAAGGTTGGAGCTTGGTTGAAAAAAGTCACGAAAATGCATAGATTTTCCAAACCGAACAAAATACCTATCGAAAGAGCTTATTCTATCTCATAGTTTTGGTAGAAGCTAATTAGAGCGCGTAAATCACAGAAGAACGGATGTTTTTGGAGCGCAATCACTCCAAAAGCGTTTAACCCCTTTAAAAAAAAGTAACGGTCCTCTTTTTGAACTGCACTGGGTTTAGTATATAGCAGATACGTCAGACTTTGTTACGCAACTCTACAAAAAATTTGGACTTAGATGATTGCAATCTTGAATGAAAAATGGAGCTTTGTTTGAGGTGTTCGTATAGTTATATACCGCTAAAAATTCGCACTAGGCGCAAAAACACTCCTAAGATTGACAACAGTTTCCATTCTTATGGATCATGTACCGTTTTCGGCTGTGTTCTATCGCGTGGTACCAACGGCTTTTTGAGTTTCTCCCAATAAGTCCAAAAACTTACAAAATTTTGGGTGTTCGTATAATTATGAACCGCACTTTATTTCTTTCATTCCTTTTGAAATGTCCTTCATCACAAATGATGGAAACTTCGTGATAAAAGGCTTCTGTGTATCTCTGATTGGTTTTTGTTCTGTTTCAGGGAGTTTCATACATATAAATTTATCCAGAAGGGAAATC